GTATGTGAGGAAAAGGAGGAAATGAAAGCCCTAGAGCCGGACTCCAGTAGCCTGGGATCATCCTGCTACCAGGAGAAAGCAGGTTAGGCTGACCCCTTAACTGCCCAGGTGCTTGCTCTGAGAGAGCAAACATCTTAGGAGATGCAGGCTGAGGACAAATATCTCCCCCCTCCCTCCTGCGCTGAGATTTTTTTGCCAGCACTTCTGAAGGTTTTTCTGTCAGTGGTCTGGAGAGGCTCACAGCTGGCCCAGTGGGCTCTGCAGAGAGAGGCCTCCCATNTGCGCTGAGATTTTTTTGCCAGCACTTCTGAAGGTTTTTCTGTCAGTGGTCTGGAGAGGCTCACAGCTGGCCCAGTGGGCTCTGCAAGGGACTCTGTGTTGGGGAGGCGGAGAAAAGGGCTTGAGACAGGTGTCCAGATAGGTAGCTAGAGGTAAAGTCCTGAGGGAGGATTCGTGAAGGGAGCTAGAGAAAAAGGAAGACCTCTGCTGAAGAGGAGAATTGGTGCCCTGTATGTTCAAAGTGAAGCGAATACAGGGGCCGGAATTCAGAGGAGGGACTAAAATGGAAGTTGCCCTTTCTTGCTTTACTGGGAATTTTCCTTTTTTATAAGTCTCTGAAAAGGAGACCTGAACTGGGAATTAGTCCAGGATGCTCCCATGGGGCCCTGGGGCATCTTTGGACTTCTGAGATGAAAGGGGAATTTGTTCCCTTTCTGTGCATTGGGCTTAGGCTTCCCACCTACTTCTTTTGTCAAAGAGAAATGGCAAGAAAATAAACAACTTGATATCTTTCATTACCCATCCTGGGCTCCTGGTGTCTTGCAAATGTTATTGGTTGGATGTGAGGGAGCCAGAATAGTTACCAAGTTTCTGCTAAAAAGAAAGGGACTCTGTGCAGTCTCGTAGACTGTTTCTCTGCCATAGGGAGCAAGGCCCCTATCACAACACAAGTGGGACCTGTCCTGCTTTCAAGATGTCCAGAGAGAAGAAGAGCCCACAAACCTGGTCCTGTGCACTGCCGGATTATTATGAAGAATTAAAAAAAATCTAACCTAAATCTCTTCTCTTGCTATCAGAAGAAGAGATCTGGCCCTGGCTGATGTGGTTCACTTGGTTGGAATGTCATCCTGTACACCAAAAGGTTCAGGGTTTGATTCCTAGTCAGGACACATACCTAGTTGCAGGTTCAATCGCAGGTTGGGGCACATACAGGAAAGCAACTGATCCATGTTATTCTCTCACATGATCGATGTTTCTCTCACATCAGTGTTTCTCCCTCTCTTCCTCTCTCCCTCTCTCCCTCTCCCCCTCCCCCCCTTCCTCCTCCCTCCTTCCGCCTGTTTCTAAAATCAATAAGCATGTCCTCTGGTGAGGATTTAAAAAAAAGAAGAAGAAGAGATCTGTTTAGAGATAGAAAACATTTCTCTTTTTATTCATTGATAGTGTCATTCATCAGCTTTCTTCCTTGACCAACACAAAACTATGTCCATTATTTTTAACTTTTCCCCAATGGCCATATTTCCCATTCTTACCTTCACTTGTTTTGTTTTTTCTGATAGAAACAAAATACACACAAATGTGTATTTTGACACAAATACACACTTTGGCTGGAACTTTTACCTAGAATAATCATTCTAAACTAATTGATAAGAATGGAATTTGGAGCAAAAAGTCTTATAAGTTGTTATATCCATTTTTGTTGGATGCAAGTCTGTGTGCATTTCTTCCTGCATGTTTCCAGATTGCTTACTTTGCTGTATTTTCAGTGGTTGGAATTAATGGATAGCTTTTGAATTTCCAAGATTGTTCCTTTATTTATTTTTTTAAATGAAGTTCTTCCAGCCTTCACGGATATTCTATTTCTAACATGAGGTTCCAAAAATAACTATTAGTGACTTTGCTTTGTAGCACCTGTTCATTTCTTAGTTCTTCCAAGAAGCTTGGCTCAGGCTCAGTCAATTGGAATATATCAGGCTTTTAAAGTTCATCTTCCATATAGCTCCTCTTATCCAGTTTTATCTTTTATCTCTTGGCTGTTCTCCCTAACTCCCTTAGAAATAGCAACCCTTTCCATTTTCGTGAGAACAGCTGATATGAATTTGTTCCAGGTCACAATTTGGGTTCGCAGCAAAAATGCTTTCAGAACAGACAGCATCCCTGGGAACAGGATGGGAGTCGATGAATGTCCAGCTGGATGGAGCAGAGACCCAGGTGGAAAGGGGAAGCCAACAAGAGGGGCCATGGAGAATGGCACCAGGGCCACTGGAACACCTGTGCTGTAACCTTGAAGAGCCACAGTCCCTTCAGGAAAAGGGTGAGAGCCTGGAGGGTGTGTGTGTGGGAAGCACAGTGCAAAGAGTAGTCAAGTAGAGTTAAAAATCCCCAAATTGTCATGGACTTAACAGCATAATCAATATCACAACTAGTCCATTCTTCCTGGGCCCTGGTCACAAGAATAGAACGAGCTCCTGGATTCTGCAACCCACAAACTGGGTTTCTCTGGTTTCTTGCATAACCACTCCCTCCACATGCTGCAAGTGCATTTTACTGGTTTTGGATGTGGGAGACTAAGGAAGTGACAGCAACACTGATTACTGTTGAAGATCACACCCAGTAAGATACACTTTACAAGATGAAAATTACATTCAAATAATATAAATTCAAACCACAGCTAGTCCAGAAGAGATGGATGACAGAAAAGCTCTACTAAAAACCACTTAATACCCTTACAGAACATTTTGAGCAAAGGTCTCTTCTACTCTATGTCTGTATTTGAGTTTTACCAATGGGCATAGATATAGAAAAAGTGTGACCCTTAAGCCCCTCTGAAAGGGGGCCCAGGCTCTTATGGGGAAAGGATGAATGTACACCTCTAATGGTTCCTTTCTGTCCTCACCAGCTCAGTCGGCTCCCTGGGCTCCTGCCATTCCCCAGGAGGGGAGCACTGGAGATTGGGAGATGGCAGCTGCACTTCTTGCAGCCGGATCACAGGTGGGCTGTGTGCTTCCTTGGCCTCTCCCAGGGTCTCATCACTGGGGCCTTTCTATAGCCTCAGCATCATCCCACTGATGTGTTGTTTCACATGATCACTAATAGTATGTTCATTTAATTTAATAGATTCTCTCCCTTTCCCAGAGACTGAAAATACCCTTTAAAAAAATGAATGGAGGCATAACAAGAAGAGGGGAATTCCTAGAATTTAGATATTGCTTTTTAATAGATAGCTGTGCTATCCACAGGGAGATTTTAAGAACACTTCATTGAATATCCTTTAAGAAATAAATTTGTAAAGATTAGGAAAAGAGAACCTGAAGGAAGCTTGGAAAAACATTAAGTGGACAAGACTGGGTGGAAGATGGGGCACTTATGGAAACGGGCAGGAAGAGATTAAGCCACTTGTATAAGGCCATAATGCTAGTAAATGGCAGAGGTAGGAGTTATTTGGCTCCAGAATCTGGACTCCTAAACACATACTATGCTGCCTCAGAAGATAAGGATATGGCACGATGGCAGGGGTAGGGGGAGAATGTTTTATCTACATCATTTTGTGCTGATAGATAGAAAAGGAATGGTCAAGTGGAGGAAGGAGGACATAGTATACAATTTCTTCAATGGAAATAAGGCCAGTGAGGAGAGACTGGGCAGATACCTATAGTTAAATAGAGGGAGCAATGAGTTCCCAGTGTGTCCAACCTCTTCTGGTCCCACTTGGGAAACTCCTCTAGAGACACTATCCTTAGTCACTCGCTGACCATCACCTTTACCCCCTCTCATTTCCCCTTCACCAAAACTGGGTGCCCTACCCAGGGACCTCTGGGCAATTCTTTTTCTAGATCTCTTGCCTTCTCTCTTCTACTACCCCAGCCTTTTATATTGGGATCACATTTTCCTTAAGGAACAGCTGGTGACAGATGATGTTACATTTTGTTTCAGGGCCTGGTAACCATCAAGGATGTGTCACTGTGCTTTTCTCAGGAGGAGTGGCGGAGCCTGGACCCTTCTCAGACAGACTTTTATGGAGAATATGTCATGCAGGAAAACTGTGGCATAGTGGTCTCTCTAAGTAAGCATGACCTGCCCCAGCCACTAAAAGATTGTACTCTAGGAGAATGGAGCCATGTGCTCCAGTGCTGTTGGATAGTGTCTATCTAGGGTTCTTTCCTTGTCAGGGAATCTGTCTATCCTTCCACCAGAGAAAGAGCACTAGGGCTAAGCCAAAGAGAATGGAAATGAGGTATTATTTTTAAAAACAATGGCAAAGTAATGCTAAATCATGGAGAAGAGAACTTTAGGCTCTTCTTGGTTGGGAATTGGCACTTCTACAAAGCAGAGAGAAGGACATCTAAGAGATGGAACTGAGTCCTTGGAAACTCAGAAACCACCTAGGGAAAGATGGGAGAGTGTTGGGGGGCAGGGAGGAGCCAGCTGTATTAGAGCTAAATAAATGAAGTTATGATCAGAAAGGACTCTTGGGCTGGAAGTATTTGAAATATAAGTAGAAGAAAACACAGGCATTGGGGAAGAGTTTGTGATTTTCTAGAAAAAGAAGAGTGACTTAAATGGGAGGGGATGAGGAAGGAGAAGGTGTATCTGGCTTTCTTTTATCTAGTGTTCTAAGGGAAAATATTGGAAACAGGTTTTTTTTTCAGAAGTATAGAATGACCATTGTACTAACCGACATCCCTATTTTCCGTTCCTGTGGGCAGGATTTCCAATTCCCAAGCTGGACATGCTTTCTCAGCTAGAAGGAGGGGAAGAACAATGGGTCCCTGACCCGCAGGACTTAGAGGAGAGGGACATCCTGAGGGTAACATATACAGGTAAGAACCTAATGTAGACTTTTAGGCATGGCCTTCACCCTTCTTGGAATGTCATCATTATGTGTCCCTCTAATCCCTCCTCTGCCTCAGAGAGTTGTAGAGTCAAAAGGTTTAGAGATCTTCTTCAAAAGCAAGACAGTATATAGAGAATGGTTTAGAAGGCAGGCCCTGGAGCCAAACTTTGTGGATTTGAATTCAGGATCTTAGAAAAGTAATTAACCTCTCTTTGGGTTCCTCATCTGTAAATTATTGTGAGATTTAAATATGTTAACATAGTAGAACAGTATCAGGTACATAATAAACGCTAAGTGAACATTAGTAGTTGTTGTGACTGTTGGTGGCTTCAACTTCCCACCTGCAGAAAGGCCTTCCACAGTGTCTCTCGTATTGCTGACAGGTGGCCAGCCAGCCAGTGATGAATGCAGCACATCCCTTAACTCTCTCCTTTTATGCTTTGGCAGGAAGATGGTAACTAATAGTAAAATCAGTGAATAAATAATAGTAATAAATAAATAATCACAATAGCATAGACCATTTACTAAGTGCTTACTATGTGCAGGTACTGTGCTAACTATCTTATCATTATTTCCATTTTACAGAAGAAGAAGTGAAAGCTAACAGAAATTAAGTAGGAAAGCTGAGATTCAAAATTAGGTAGTCTATCTCCTAAGCCTAGGCTTCTAACTTCTACACCTCTTGCACTGTCTTGTACAACATTAAAATCTGTTCTCTCAGCCCTTTTTGGGTGAGGTTTAGGCCCTAACAGACATCATACAACCTCACCTGTGATGGGTCCTGAGGGTACTCTCTGGTGACTCCCCTCCTGGGGTCGGTATTTTCCCTTCTCCACAGGAGATGGAAGTGAGCATGAGGGGGATACTCCTGAATTAGAAGCAGAACCTCCCAGAATGTTGTCTAGTGTATCTGAAGATACTGTTCTCTGGAACCCAGAGCAGGAGGAGAGCTGGGATTCTATGCCCAGAAGCTCCAGAGAAATGCTTCTGGGCCCACCTTTTCTTCAGGAAGATAGCTTCTCAAGCCTTCTGTGTAGCACCGAGATGGATTCCCTGTTAAGACCACACACATGCCCCCAGTGTGGGAAACAGTTTGTGTGGGGCTCCCACCTTGCCAGGCACCAACAAACTCACACTGGGGAGAGGCCCTACAGCTGCCTCAAGTGTGAGAAAAGCTTTGGGCGAAGACATCACCTGATCCGGCACCAGAAAACCCACCTACATGACAAGCCCAGCAGGTGCTCTGAGTGTGGCAAGAATTTCCGATGCAACTCCCATCTGGCCAGCCACCAGAGAGTGCATGCAGAAGGCAAGTCCTGCAAAGGGCAAGAAGCTGGAGAGAGCCCTGGAGCGAGGAAACGGCAGCGCACCCCACCAGTGCCAAAGTGTCATGTGTGCACTGAGTGTGGGAAGAGCTTTGGCCGACGGCACCACCTGGTGAGACACTGGCTGACCCATACTGGGGAGAAGCCCTTCCATTGCCCTCGCTGTGAGAAGAGCTTTGGCCGTAAACATCACCTGGACAGGCACCTGCTGACCCACCAGGGACAAAGTCCCCGGAGCAGCTGGGACAGAGGGACATCTGTCTTTTGAATTCTGTTTCTGCTGTAGCTGTGGTCACATCTATCAGCTGGTGCTACCAGGAGTCTTTGCCAGAGCTTCCCCTTTTCTACCCCCAATGGCCAGGATCATGAGCCTTGCCCTTATCCCTAGAAAGATGTGGTTTCAGCATTGGCCAGAGCATTTTTCACCAGTTCTGTGAAATACCACATAAAATAAGAGTTCTTTGGGCAAAACTTTTGGGAAACAATGATTACTACATGGGTTGATATTCAGCCTGAGCCTGTTCTCAAGGGTACAGTGGTACCAGCGGTTTATGGCTGAGGTCAATTCTGACTGATTGGAGCCTATGCCATACCAGTTGTTAAATACTTTGAGTATCACCATTGTGTACTATAACTGTTATATTCTCATATTCTCTCTACACACACACACACACACACACACACACACACTCACACACACACACACACACACGGAGACCATGTTGGCATAGTAAAAGCTCTGAAAATTTATGCAGTAGAACAAATTGTTAAGTCTCTTAATGCAGCGTTTCCTAAATGTATTTGACCTCAGTATTCTTTCTGTCTCACATCCCACAGAACTGGTGACTCCATGAAACACTCTGGTGAACACTGGGTTAGAGTTATGAGGAAACAGGAAAGAGCCCCCCTTTTTTATCCAAATGAAAACTGAGGGGCAGGTCTAATTCCTGTGTGGGTCCATCACCTTTACTCCAATCATCTGAATATACATCCACACATCACCCCCACCTGCTGAAAAATAGAAACAATAACCTTTTCACCCCTTATTCCTACTCCCTTTATCCTGGACATACTACATATATCCAGCTGAGATCATAATATCATGCTAAGAGATGGACCTTACACTCCCAAGTAATCCAGACTCACACAGAAGAAAAACTATCCCCTTGGACAGTTCCCTCTTCTCTTGACTGTGTCTTTGTGTGTCTATGTGTATCTATGTGCAGGGTCTTTGAAGAGAGCATGCAAAGTGCAAACTGTAAAAGCTAGATTTTCTAGGGGCAGTGTTCTGGTGATGAGGGTAGTGGGAATTGTATGGGGTTTTTGTTTTGTTTCAAGATAGGAAGTAAGCTGAGTGATTAAGGGAGCCCTAGTGGAAAGGGTTAAGTGGTGGGTAATGTGGGAGTTGAGGTATAAAGCCTTCTTGAATGTCACTGAGATCAAGACAACTGGATATATATGTTTAGGTCTGAATCTCTGGGCCACAGATTCTTTTTGCCTGGGTAGAGAGTTAAAGAAACATCCTCAGTGAGGTGAGCTGTTTCTTGTTGATTTCAAGCAAGATGCATATAGAAGCTTTGTGCTGAGTGGGTGTTTTTGTGTGTGTGTGTGTGTGTGTTTTGTATGTGTGTGTGTCTTGTTTTAATTACTGGGAAATTAGGGCAGGAATCACAGTGCTTACAGGTTGTTGTCAATACTCTTGTTTGATCTTGATTGCCTCGTCAAGGGGACAGAGTTATTCTTGAGGATCTTATTCTCCTAGGAACAGGACTTTAGGGGAAATGACTGTGGTTTAGCTTTTCAGCTGATGCAGGGTAATGAGCTTTCCAGTTGGTTTTCCTCACAGTTCTGGGAAGGTGTCCACACTAAGACTCTTTAACTCCAGGACTTGCGTAAGTATCCTAGCATCTGTTAGTTGATGAGTTGGTCATTGTTTCTCTTTATTGATGTGTTAATACCAATCTTACAATTTAAAAATTATCTTGTATGTAAGAGCAGTTTGGGGTTAGGAAGGGAGAGGAGCAAAGAGGATGAAAGTCAATATTTTCTCTTTAATGCTTAGATTCTGGTTCTTCCTTAACTCACTTATTTTTCAACCACGATTGGTGGAATTAACCGGAGAGGTAAGAAGGAAGCGAGCTGCAACAGTCTAGTTTAATGACTGTCCCATTTGCTTAGGAAAAGTGGGGTGAGCCCTGGACCCAAATGGAGCTGAAAATAGGGTCATTTTGCTGAATGGGCTTCTTTAGAGTGGATATGACTTGATCAACTCAGTTCTTGCCTTCTGCTGCTCAGAGCAGCCTTCCTTCTTTGCTTGGAATATACTTCTCTCGCTTATGTTCACATGAATAGAGCAAAATGGTCAGCCCTTTGTAAGGCAGCCTTGTCCTAGGTCCTCAGAGACAGGAGTGCTTTAGGATCAGTATTAGGAGATGCCCCAAGGAACAGGAAAGTATTGCATTCCAGGTAAAACTGAACTCTGCCATTTCTTTTACCCTCTCACTATGCCTCATTCATTCATGCAAATCAGCTTTATTAAGCAATGGTTCAGAACCTCTTTTGGATCACAGACTCTTTTGAGAATCTGATAAAAACCAGGAAGTCATTTTTGAAAAATATATACATTTTTTCATATACTCCATTTTTCATACATTTTTCATACATTTAGCAGGTTCAGAGCCTACCCATGGAATCACTTAAACTGGGGCCAAAGAAAGGATATATATATTTGTGTCAAGAATTACAAGGCAAGGGCCACTAAATATTTTAAGGACTAAGATACCAGAGGCCGAAGGGTGTAAGAATCGTCTGGTGTATAGTGACTAGAACGATATTGCTTACGATCTACTCTATTTTTTTTTAAAGATATGGTATGCTAACAAATCCAGCTCCTCACAAACTTCTTTTAAAGTCTTGTAGGAGGTGACTCCCCCTACTATCGGATCACACTCTTAATAACCATATGTTAACCTCCAGCCTTTGATCTGTTTAGTAATTGTAAGAATAGAAAGTGAAGCCCCTAAAGTGCAGGTGCAGTCATAGTACTCAACTGAAAGGCATCATGGAGTCTTAAGGGCCTTCTGCAGAAGGGGCATCCCTTTAGGTCATTTCTGGTGCCACTGTCTTTACCTCAGTCCACTTCCTTTATTTCCTAAAATAAGCAACAGCCATCAGATGGCGAATAGACTTGAATGATTTTTCCCATAGGAAATCATCCTCAAACTCCCGTTTTGCCTCCCAACTCCCTCTACCACATGTCTACCCTACCCACTTTAAATAAAAAATGTCTCTGTGTTCTCTCTGGGCAAAATGTAAAAAAGAGAAGTCCCACGTAAGTAACCTGTCACCTTTTCCCCTCTGTGGTGCCTCTATTCAAGGCCCAAGTGTCTCCCCTTTTCATCCCATCAAAGCTCTGTAAAGAATCCCTTACACAGGAGAATGTGACCCAAAGTGTTAGCTTTGCTCAGCTCTATTTACATTTTAAGCATTAGTTCTGACATCTGATAGTCAAACTGGGAGGAAAAGCTTTTCTGTTAAAATGATACGCCTTTAGGGAGCTGAAGGGGTGATAATTTGGGACAAAATCCTTCCCTTTCCAGCACTCCTACAATCAAACCACTGTTACCTATTTCCATCAAGGGTGAGCCCTGACACAAAACCATATGTGCCAGAAGATAGGTTCTTCCCATCTCTATTTGGATGGGGTGAGTGGAGCTGGGCAATACAGAAAAGTGAAATCTATTCTCTTAGACCCCTTAGAGATCCTGAGCTGACAAAATTTCTTTCTTTAGAGTGCTCTACTAGGCCTGGGGTCTCAAAATGTGTGTTCTTTGGACCAGCAGCATCAACATCACCTGGGAACTTGTTTTAGAAATACAAATTCTCAGGCTCCACCCCAGACAAACT